GGTTCTGTCAGGCTCATCTCAGTTCACGCACCTGCCCTGTTTTCGGTATGCTTGCTGTTCTAGCCCGCGCTCGTACCTCTCAGGTGTGGGCTCTCACTTCCCTGTAGAGGAGTTGCCCACCCTTGATTTTTTTCCTGGTCTCCCTCTGGAATAACTGCAGAGCCGTTAGGTGACAGGTCGGGATGCTGTGAAACTGGAGTGAGCAAACAACGTGACTTTAACGTGAAAACTTTCCTCCCCGAGTGCTCTCCACCATGCCCCAGCCACTCTCTGGCAGCAGTTACCATCACAAACACCTCCAGGTGAGACAGACGGCACATGCTGTGACAGGAAAAAGGTGTTTCACGGGCTGGCGGCAGCTGTCCAAACTCTCTCCAGAAGGAGAAACCCCGGAGGTCCTGGGTGAGACGCACGCAGACCCTGACCGTTCCGCAGTCAGCCTCGGGCAGCAGCAGGGATGGGGAGACAGACGCTTTGCTGGGGAAACTTGCACTTCACAGGCGAGGTTTCTCAAACTGGGCTCGATTCTGGCAGTTTGGGGGGAGGGAGTGTGTGTAGTTTTGCCGGTGTTAGAATGGTGATGTTTTGCCACATATGGGAGTAACTTTTGATTAAATTTCAACACGTTTCCAACAGCGTAGGAAATTGGAGTTCTTGTTATACTGAGGCAATTTACGGGGTTAACGTGGATGTGAAGGATCACAGAAACATTAAAGGCTCATGTTCTTTAAGTGTGTAAGCACATCTTTATTCAGAGATTAGAATCGATGACTTTACTGGAATGATTTTAGACTCTTTAAATACTACTGTGAAAGCTTGTGTGTGTAACTCTGAGAGTGCTGAAGCACAGAGGGCAGAAAACTTGGCTTTCATACTGGGGAAGCCAGGAAAGCCTTGCAAGGTTCTTTATCCATAGCACTCCTTTACTTCATGAAAATGTCGGTTATGTTTGTATGTGTTTATCTAACACTGATGAGCCTCTCCCCTTGATTTTGTGATTACGCTGCTAGATGTAACAGAGCCCTGTGAGAGTTCATCCTAGTAAATAAATGCTATTTACAAATCAAGAAGGAAGGGTTGGAGGAAAAAGCACTGAAATTCAAGGTTTAGTGGCTTTTCCCACTATGATGACAGCAGGACCTGTGTCGGAACAGGACTCTGGGTCATCACTTGCCCTTGCCAGCCTGCCCAAGCAGAAATCCACAGCGGCAGCTGTCTACTTCTTGGAAACAAATCGTCATCAGCTTCAAAAACTGGTTTTCATATACGAGGTGCTTTGTGCTACTTCATCTCAGAGCACTTGCCAGGACAATATTGCTTTTGAAAATAAAATGAAGCTCTTCCTAGACAGAGTGTTACAGGAATAATTATTTGTCCAAGAACAGCAGAAAGTTGTGGGTGATCTGAAAGGCAGGTTCATGACACAGTGTCACGCACCAGGTTGCAGTTCCTCATTCTTTAAACTGCTGTCTTGGCATGAGCTTACCTCCACAACTGAAAAGCAGCTGTGTCAGCCCTGGCATCTCTGCAACACATGTGGTGGTTCTGGCATTGCGGTTCATTAGGAGTGTTTTATAATACCGATCTGTTCAGTATCAGTCTGTCATAATTATCGAATAAATTACTCTCTTAGGGAATATGCTGGAACCTCTTGAATCTCAAAATAGCTACTGTGGTTTTTCTGGAGCAGGTTGTACCCCCATCCAGTTGTGACGTGTGTATTTCCACCAAGCCAGTGCCATTGTGGATCTTACACAAGTCCAGCTGCACTTTGTTCCCACAGCAGCAGTTTTAGGATGATGCAGCCCCAAGCACATTCTCCTGTAATTAACTGACTCTCCAGATGAAACCATGGTCATCTTCATCCAGCATTCTGGAATGCATTCCTCTTGTTCCAATTGCAAACCTGTAGCACTTCCTTTTGATCATACAGTATCTGATTCTGAAGTATTTGTGGATTTTTATTCCCCATTCTATACTTCTTTCTCCTCTTTGCTCCCACGCTGCCCGTTTTTCCTTTGCCGTGCAGAGTTTAGATCAGCCTGTGAGTAACGCAGCTGCACGTGGCAGCACTGGTGCCCGTCCTCCTTCTGTGGAGCCAGCCCGCTTTGCAGACCTGACAGTCCCAGCCTGCGTACAGTCAGTATTAGTTGGGTTTCTGAAATGAAGTTTGTGAGTCCCTGCAAGTCCCAGTGGGGTCTTGGGCACACTGCAACTACTGACCTGCCTGCACAAAACCAGCTTGGGCTTTCTCCAGGCCAGGTTCATACAACATCCTGCCGACACACTCTACTATGTTCAAGCTTTAACCACTAGCTTAGACTAGACCTCCTCTACCCTCACTCATACTGACAATCCTGGTAAAGTCTACGAGACAGTGAGGTTAAACCGTTGGAGGCGTTAGATCAGATGTCAGAAAAACAGTCTCATTTTTAGCACTGATCAGCTACATGACATTATCATTCAATATCATCATCACAGTGGCTTAAAATTGAAAGTGGGGAGATTTAGGTTGGACATCAGGAAGAAGTTCTTCCTGGGGAGGGTGGTGAGGCACGTGGACAGGTTGCCCAGAGAAGCTGTGGATGCCCCATCCCTGGAAGTGTTCAAGGCCAGGCTGGATGAGGCTTTGAGCAACCTGGTCCAGTGGAAGGTGTCCCTGCCGTGGCAGGGGGGTTGGAACTAGATGATCTTTAAGGTCCCTTCCAACCGAAACCGTTCTATGATCACTCATGACATTATCAATGACATTATGCTCTTTCTGTCCATGTTTAATATTTAATGTTCTTTTCGCCAGAAAAGATGCTTCCGCAGATTAAAAGACTTGTGTAAGAAGTGCTATGTGCCGTCACTTAAGTAAAGCAAGCAGTTAAGTATCAGAAGAGCTCCTGATAAATAGGAAAGAAATGTGAAATCATGGATGACTTCCAGGTAGGTCATAACCAAGGGAGAACCCAATCAGAACTCCAGCATGTGTGCTAGCTAAAAGATACTTCTCCTTGGTTTGTTTCTGGAAACCTAAATGCTCAAATTAATTGGATACTTTTTGGTAAAAGTAATGAATATATTACTTGTCAAAAATATGTGTTTCAGACTAATGATTTACACATCAGTGAAAGCTGAGATAGACACCCCTGAATCATGTACTTTCAGTATAATGGAATGAATCCTTAAAGTAACTTCAATGAAATTACTTTTTAAAAATATTTTATCAAGACAGAGGGGAAAAAACCCAAAGAACCGGTCAACAGAAGATGATAGCACCACAGTGTTGCCCTTGCTCTCAGCCATAATTAGCAGTGGGATGTTTACTCTCACGAGGATGGACAGCGAAGTTCTGACCCTCTTTCATCGCCCGTAATTGTCCAGAACAGGACTGCAGTCACCTGTACCCAGTGAGCAGCCCTTGTGTCCTCAGCCCAGAAATAAATGCTGACACAGGCGGACTGGTTCATCTCGTGCGTTTCTCTCTTGGCTTTTTACCTGACATATTCCGAGGTGCCCTGCTCAAACACATGCCACACGTGACCATTATTACACCATGTCACCAGTACTGCACAGTAGTTAAATACGTAATTAACACACTGCAAGTGTGAGACGCACCAGCTGACTGCTCTCCTTGCGACTGATCAGCCACTGAATGTCACTGCTCAGCAAACACTCCTGCAGCTGCAGAGTGAAATAAATGGGGAGAGGAAATCTGTGATGAAAATGTCATGTGTATTCAAACTAACTCCTTGCTTGTGGGACTCATGGAACAAACTACATTGATACCTTTGATTTTGGGATTCAAAGTAAAACTCCAGGATCAAAGAAAACCAGAATTAAATTAGTGCTCTTCAGGTATTCACCAGAACATGACTAGTGCTTCCAATCCTAAATGAGTCTCTGCCAATTTCCTTTGCAGTTAAACTAATTAAACTTTTTTATTTCTCTAGAAATATACTGTAAATAAACAAATGTAATTTTCAGCTGTTAAATACTGGGTTTATCCCTACACATGGAAAAGCAAGCACATAAAAGGCGCAAATAAAAGAAATCTAATTGTATTAGTTGTGTGTATGCAGATATGCATTCATACAAGACCTTATTTAACCGTATTATGCTCTTAATTCTTTTTGTGTGAAACCTCCAGATTTTCTTTGATGCTATCAAATGTTTCTTTTGTTTCAGAACTGATGCTGTCTGCCGGGGTACAGGACTCCTCTCAGCCCACTGATCCCCACCATGAGTGGCGCATTCCTTTGTGTATGCTGTTTCACTCAGACTAGTAGGTTTTCAAAGGAGCATAAGGAAGGTAGCGGGCTTCCACAAACGTAATCACCTTTACAAAATCCATTGTTTATTTTCCAGCCATTTAACACTTTCTTCTTAGATAAAAAATACTGTCCTGTGCTTGCCTTTCTTATTTATTAACACCCATGAACTTTCTTATTAATTTCTAGATGTTTAGCATTGTCATTTTATGAGAAAGTGTAAGTGAGTGTGATGAAAAAGTGCTGCAGGACTCATTCCGTTCTTGCAGCACCGGCAGGCGGGAGTTCTTAGCTGTAACAGCCCGCTTGGCTGTAGCCAGTATAAAGCCATTGGAGTGTGGAAAGTTAAACTTTTATGCAGCTATTTGGCAGAGTGTGACAAAAGGGAGAACAGTTAAAAAAAAAAAATGGTGACAGCCATGCTTTAACCATGTGTAAATGTTACAATTATATCAAAATATTGAGTTTTTAATGCAAGTCTGTGAGTGGGAATAGCTATTTTTTTCCCCCCTTCAGAGTCTTCACAAAGCACAGGGCCATTTGGAGGAGCAATTTGTACAGTTAAATCCTCTTTTTTCTTTTTTTTTTTTTTTCTGGGAGGCCTCTGTGCTTCCTCTGAAAACCAGGTGTCCTTTCCATCCACTAGGAGGGGGTAAGTGAGACGAGTGGGATGACCGAAATGGTGGAGTTGCCAGCGGAGGGGAACTCCCTGATAAGAGCTGTCTATCAAAGCCGCCTTCGCCTCACCAGGCTGTTACTAGAGGGTGGTGCGTACATCAACGAGAGCAATGACAGAGGTGAAACCCCTTTGATGATTGCTTGTAGGACAAGACATGTGGACTCCCAGAGTGTCAGCAAGGCAAAGATGGTTAAATACCTACTGGAAAACAAGGCTGATCCAAACATACAGGACAAATCTGGAAAGACAGCTTTGATGCACGCCTGTCTGGAAAAAGCAGGCCCTGAGGTGGTAGCTCTGCTGCTGGAAAGCGGAGCTGACCCAAGCCTGCAGGATCACTCCAACTGTTCCGCACTTGTGTATGCTGTAAACTCTGAAGACAAAGAGACCCTGAAAGTTCTTCTTAACGCCTGCAGGGCACGAGGAAAAGAAGTCATCATCATCACCACGGACAAGTCCCCTTCGGGGAGGCAGAAAACGAGGCAGTACCTAAACGTGCCTCCTGCAGACCTGGAGGAATGCCATTCCACAACTGCTTGCACTTCCCCATCAGAAATAGAACTGAAAACCGCTCCGTCCCCAGGTTCCAAGGAAAGTAAACAAGCCCTGTTCAGCTTTAAAGAGCTGGTTCATCCACAAAGTGTGGACAACTCATCTCGAACAGTTTCACCAACGAGAAGATCCATCTCAACAAAAGTAGGGTCCAAGCTGGCACAAGTGCAGCGGCTCCAGTCTGAGCCTTGGATAAAGAGCTCTCTGCCACTGTTTCACCAGAATAACACTGCCTTTTCACAAGAAGAACTTCAGGATATTACTCCAGAAGAAGAGCTGTCTTTTAAAATCAACAGCCTTGCCTTATCAAGGAGATTCATCACCAGGCACCAAAGTATTGACATAAAAGACACTGCTCATTTTTTGAAAACCTTTGATCAAACAGGATCAAGGAAATTATCATATGATGAGATAAATTCTCAGACTCCTTATGTTGAAGAGAAAGATAACCCCAGTGGGATTCCTATGGGTAAGGATGCTAGTTCGGGACAAATCTGCTTTATTTCAAACCTCGGCAGTATTATCCAGAAAAGAAACTTGGGAGCAAATCACTACAGCTCTGATTCTCAGTTAACTACTACTCTGAGTCCTGCTGCTGCAGAAGACAGTAAGTCAGCGATAGGGAAGAAGATCCTTTCTCCATCTCATTCTTTGTTATCAAGTTCTAGAGAAGTACTGGAAAACATGCCTCCAGTTACTCTGAGCAGGAGAAATCCAGCTTTTCTAGAAAGACGGGGTTCAGGAACCTTGTTGTTGGACCACATCGCTCAGACAAGACCAGGTTTTCTTCCACCACTGAATGTGAATCCCCACCCCCCAGTTCCAGATGCTACTTTCATAAACAGGGTTTCTGGGATGATTTCTTGTGGACAAAACCACTTATTACCAGCAGCACCTGCTTTCCCCAGGGAGACCAAAAACATGAGAATGCTACTAAGGAGGCAGTCATTACAGACTGAGCAGATTAAGCAGCTGGTAAATTTTTAAGAGGAGATTAAAGGGTCTTTATGGTATGTACATACTCACTGAGCCACCCACTTGTAATGATACCTGTCACAAAAGGTAACAGGGCTGTGATGTAAAGTGCTCGGCCTTGGAATGAGGTAAACAGAGACTACATGAGAAGATGCACTTGCTGCTTTCTGCGAACTGAGGAGCACTTAGAGCACTGTTCTCGTAATGTTTTCAGCTTCAGCACTGAAACCTTTCCTGTGGGTGAACCCACAATGGATCTTAGGCACTGCAGTTCTCATTTTAGGCTGGAAATGCTATCCCTCCTAGGTTTCCCAAATGCGTCCCTTTTCTGCACCCAGAAAGGTCGTACATGTGGAATTTGGGAACTTGAAACACCTGTCTGTAATGCTGGACACCAGACCGACTCTGCCCAAGCCGTGCAATATCCAGAAATCCCAGAGACAACCAGTGTGTGCAAAGGGTGGGCAGGGGCAAACGTGCATGGGCAGCGTCTCCTGGCTGCAGCAGCTTTCCTGCCTGTGAACAGACAATACACAGAGTCAATAAAATTCACGTTGCAGTGCTGCGTTGCACGCAGAGCTATGCCAGGGAAATTCCAGCTGAAGCCTGGGAGCCTGCTGTAGGTGCCTCGCGGCCCACTGGAGGTCAGCGCCATACACGGAGCACTGGGGAGCTCAAGTTCAGCACACGACACCCGGGAGCCGAGCCAAGAAGCCAGCGCAGCGAGTGAGAGGTCTTGAATAACCTCGTGCGAAATGACCAAACCCTGCTCGCACTCTCAGGTAGGCACGTCAATCATCCTGGGCTTCCCAAGCTATTGGATTGCTGGAAGCTGCTCATTTAAAAAGAGGACGAGCAGGGGGAGGCAGAGGCTGTACCTAAACTAGGGTCCATTACCTTCTGTAGTTCCAGACTCCCAAAAAAGATCTCCACACCACACAGGAGCTCTTTCTCCCTGGTCATGGGCCAAGCTTTTGTTTCACGACAGGGTACAGGTGGCGGGACACATCCACGTGTTGTCTTCATCAGCAAGGATGTGCCACACACACACTTGGGAGCAAGGAAGAGCTCTGGCCCCCTGCTCAGTCCTAAAGCAAAATGTGACAGCTATGATATTCACCTGGGAGATGCAAGTCCTCGTTTTGCCTAATTTGAAGTAGAGGGCTGCATTTCTTACAGATGAGAAGCCCTCCTTTGTCTCCAAGCTATTGAATATTTTTAGGTATCTTTACCTAAAATCAGTTTTTCCTTCCCATTTAGCATTCTGCAATTCCAAAAATCTACCTTATCTTTGTGCATATTCCGTAGATGCTCGATGTCGGGTACTGCATTTTGCAATCTGTAAATCATCTTCTAAAGACTGAGCGACACTGGATGTGTTCTGTTTTGTCATAGTTTATAGAAACTGTATTGAAATTGTGTCTGTATGATGTGAGTTTCTGTATACCGAGATACTACTTTTCTGAAAATACGGAGTGGGTACTATCTGCCTTCTTGCCGCTTCAGTCAAAATTCGCACGATCTGACGCTGCTTGGCAAACGACTGCGATGTCATTTAGCTTTGCTCCTCATACAGGACAACCTCAAGTGGATGACAAACACACAGTGCCTGTTAAATACCTTTTTGACGTAAAACCACACAAATGCCCACAAGCTCATGACGTGCGTATTTTGAGGCAGGGAATATTTGACATTTTTGAAGCAAAGGAGTATGGCTTACGCCTCTCCACCAGGCAGCTGCATATGAAGCGCTGATCCGAAACAGCCTGTAGCGGTGACTGCTAGAAGGCAGATGCCGATTCGCTGAGCCAGCTCTCAAAGGCAGCTGGAGTAAGCAGAGACGCAGTCTGCGTGCCGTTGTCACAACTATTTCTACCCCACAAAATACTGGTCTGGGAAGCCGTGGTGCCCTTTGGCCCTCCTCGTCACAGCTCTGCTAACTCGGGGTGCGTAGCGCTCTGGCGACAGCTGGGGGGGGGGGCCCACAGCGAGCTGCACTACGCTGTCGCGTTTCTCTTACTCGGATATGATTGTCGCGCTCGCTCAGTGCCCCACCCCCGCCTGAAGAGCAGCCAGTACCAGCCACAAAAATGTTGGGTTTTTTTTAATTAGTGATGGACTATTCACCCACTGCTGGCAAACTCCAGTCTCTGCACCCACGCAAACAAGAAGTGTTCGCCATGTTAAAAAAATCCCAATGCCCAAGTTTGCACATTAAGCTCCCAAAAATAAGTTCCAAAGCTTATGTATGCTTTAAGAGCTATTAAATACCAGTGGAAACATGGTGAGGGTGACGGAGTATCCCATTCCACTCAGGTTCTGCCTCTTGCTTCAGGTGATGCTGCTGGATGAGCATCTGCATATGCCATGTAGAAAGAGGGGTTATGTGGGAATATTTCCATGGCAGAGAAATTAGGTAGAACAACGTTATATCAGCACTGAACTATGAACTGGGTGCAAACCGGTCCCTACAGACACCACCTACAGACGCGATGCAAGTGTTTCAGTGACACGGTAGACGAAAGCGGCAGTTTGTAGTCTCTTCATCTCACGAGGTTAAATATTGGAGGCTAAAACGTATCTTAAAAAAAAAAAATTCTTTCTTTAGGAAAAAATACTAGCGGATCAGACATTCTGTTATCTTTGCTGAAGGTATAAAACCTGATCTCTGCTGTATTGATTTTAAAATTCGTTACATACATGGGATGTTTTATGAACTGCCCAGAGAGCAGGCGAAAATGGCGAGTGTCTTAAGAAGTGAAGTTCTTCCGTGGTGCTGCCAGTATTTTGTGCTCATTTCTGACGCAGGAGTAATGTGTAAGGTGACCATTAACGCTTATTGTTACACCCATGTTACAAGTGACCTTCAAAGGAAAAAACAATTCAGTTTTGTTCTCTTGATGTTGTTATGGTGCGTAAATAAAAGGTTTTTTTCCCCCATTCAGGGAACATGGAAAGACACATCTTTTATTCACGACTTAGGAGATGCCAAGTCACCACCAAAGGCAGTGTTTTGTGTTTCCCAGGCTGTCTCCATGCAGGAGAATTGGAAGAGTTAATCAGATTTAATCCAACGGAGCTAAGTCTGTACAAAGCACTGTGTGAGAGGCTCTTTCCCGTGGTGGGTACATTACTGGGGTTCCGCTTCAGTGGAGACACACTTCTGCCCCCTCTCGAGTCTCAATCCTCGCCACTTCCCAGCCATGACTCACCTCTTCTGAGCAAAGAATAGGAAGCAAGACCTGAATTTCTGACGTTAAATTCGTCCCCCCCAACAAACGTTTCAGTTTACAAACACGGAAACAGATCCCCGTGCATCTTGGTAAAGCAAACGCCACCAGCCCTAACTCCTCCCTTGCTAGGTTTCCTTAAAGAGCTGTGGCTTCCCGCCCAGAGAGAACCACCTGGGCGAGTTCTCCCACCTGACAGTGAAAAAAGATTAATGGCATAAAATCCTTAAGCGTTTACACAGTAGAGGGTGGTGAGGCAGTGGCACAGGTTGCCCAGAGAAGCTGTGGATGCCCCATCCCTGGAAGTGTTCAAGGCCAGGCTGGATGAGGCTTTGAGCAACCTGGTCTAGTGGAAGGTGTCCCTGCCCATGGCAGGGGGGTTGGACCTAGATGATCTGTAAGGTCCCTTCTCCAACCCAAATCGTTCTGGGAGTCTGTGATTCTATGATTCTGTGAAAGGGACATGATGTTTCTGTGAGCAAGCGTTCCTGCCAACGTAAGCTACAGCTTTCAGTAACATCCCTCCCCCCCACCCCCCATGGGGTTACTGATCTTCTGCGCAGCCAGTTTAGAAAGGTGAAAAGCTTTTCCTTTTGGTCTTCCCGTTCTCTGAAGAAGGCTGTGAAACCGTAAGGTGAAAGTCAATTCTCGACAAACAGTGGCAGCCTCACAAAAAACAGTGACCACCTAGAAAACTTTGTATTTTGGGTTAAGAAATAGAAGAACAGTAAGTCACTACACAAGAACACAGTAAAACAGCAGTTTTCAAGGTCACGCTTAAGGCGTGGTGTTCAGTTTTCAAAATATCCTTCCCTTCAATTTTTGTTTGGTTTTACTTTAAAGAGAAAGGCCATTGGAGTAATTTTGGTTTGATTTTTCTGCCTTTTACAATTACTCAACACTTCCAGAAGAGTATTGCCATAATTTGCTGCAGCTACACAAGAAGAACAGTAAACTAAAATAGTAATTAAATTCCGTTTTTTCTCCCTCATCAATCCTTAATAAGACCTCCATCTTTCTGCATCTGTTACGCAGTACCAGTAAGTAATTTTCCAACTAAAATAAGGTATTTATAAATTCTTGCATTAGTAAGCCATTATTCCATTAGCTGGCTATTTTGTTCATGTGACAAGAACACGGCTTGTTACGGGAAGGCTAGCATTAGTCACAAATAACCACCCTACCACAAACATTCACACTGTGTTCATAAAAGCAACCAGCTTTTTTTTTCATTAATGTTTATATCTAGAATTAGAGGGAAGAATGTCTGTTGCAAAGTATTTCCCAGCCACACATGTTCACCTTCAAGTACTGCTGGCACTGCAGTACCTTCAAGGAGATGGGGTTTGATAGGATACTCCGTCGATAAGGAACTGGCTGGATGGCCGCACTCAGAGAGTGGTGGTCAACGGCTCGATGTCCGAGTGGAGATCGGTGACAAGTGGCGTTCCTCAGGGGTCGGTGTCGGGATCAGTTGTGTTCAACATCTTTGTCGGTGACATGGATGACGGCATTGAGTGCACCCTCAGCAAGTTTGCTGATGACACCAAGCTGTGTGGGGCGGTCGACACATGGTGGTGAGGTCTGCTCTGGTGAGACCCCACCTGGAGTGCTGCGTGCAGCTGTGGAGCCCTCAACTTCAGAAGGAGATAGACTGGTTGGAGCGAGTCCAGAGGAGGCCACGAAGATGCTCAGAGGGCTAGAGCACCTCTGCTATGGGGACAGGCTGAGAGAGTTGGGCTTGTTCAGCCTGGAGAAGAGAAGGCTCCGGGGAGACCTTAG